TTTGTATGGCCCACCAATGATGCTATGAATATTAGCAAAAATAAAAAAAGTTCCCCACCCCTGGTCTAAAAGCAAATAACAATGAAACACAGCCTACCAAAACCTTTGGGACCCAGAAAATTTGGTTTTCAGAAGAGATGAAATTCTTGTCATCCTCGATTCTAAGAAGCATTCTGGCTGTACTTCTTCCTAGACTAATTTGTTCTTCTGGTAGTCCATGGTATTTTAAATTATTCTTCTCAATATGTTATTTAAAGGTATCAATTTCTTCTATGGTTTTCCTTATTGTCCAAATTTCACATGCATACAAAGCGACTGAAAATATCATAGCTTGGGTCCAGGTGAACCTTAATCCTCAAAGTCTTCTGGTCTTGAACACTTTAAAGAGGTTTTTGCAGCAGATTTGCCTAATGTAATACACTGTATGAATTTCTAACTGCTGTTTCCATGAGCACTGATTGTAGATCCAAGAAAACTGACGTTTTTGACAACTTCAGTTTTTTCTCCATTTATCATGAAGCATTTATTGGTCCAGTTGTAAAGATTTTCATTTTCTTTACACTGGGTGTAATCTATACTGAAGGTATAGATTACATCAGTAAGTATTTCAAGTCCTGTTCAATTTCAGCACACAAAGTTGTGTCATTTGCATATCACAGGTTGTTAATGACTCTTCTTCTAATCTTGATGCCACGTCCTTCTTCATATAATCCAGTTTCATGGATTCTTTGCTCAACATGCAAATTGTATGGTATGGCACTGTAGGATCAGCAGTGGACTGCGAACCACAAGGCCAGCTGCCCAAATCCACCAGTTGATCCTCAGAAACCCTATACAGGGATACCATGAGTCAGAAGAGACTTGATGGCACTTAACAACAACATCAACATGCAGATTGAATGGTGTAAGGGTACAATCCTGTCACACACCTTTCCTGATTTAAATCATTCAGTATCTCCTTGTTCTGTTTGAACACTGCCTCTTGGTCTATGGACAGGTACACATAAGCACAGCTAAATGTTCTGGGATTCCCATTTTTCACAAATGGGACTCCATAGAATCCTTCAATATTACAATCTGAGGCTTGAATTGTCTCTTCAGTTGCTTCATAATGAGAATTACTGAGTGTATTCTTCCTCTTGGACTTTCTAAATCCAAGTATTTGCATATTTTAGTATATTTGACTTTGTCCTCTCGAGATACAACTCTACTCTTACTAGAATTAATGGGTTAAGTCTTGGACTACTACTTCATCATTGACTCAAGAGCAAGTTTCAGAATCTCTTCTGATATCCACTTCAATCTTTTTCATGACCTTTGGCTTTCTTCATGTATGAGGTTCTTGATGTCATTCAAGTCTTCTGGTCTTTAGTGTCTAATGCATCAAATCTGTTCTTGAGATGGTCTCTAAATTCATGTGCGATATACTCAAGGTCATATTTTGGCTCCTTTTGACTTGCTTTAGTTTCTTCAGTTTCAGACTGAACTTGCATATAAGCAATTGATGGTCCATTCCACAGTCAGCTCCTGGCCTTATTTTGGCTAATGTTATTGAACTTCTCCATTGTCTCTTCCCACAGATATAGTCCATTTGAGTTCCATGTATATATATAGTCACCTCTTATGTTGTTGAAAAATGGTATTTGCAATGAATAAGTTTCTGATCTTGAAAAATTCTATTATGTGAACATCAAAACTATTTCTCTCACCAAGGTCATAGTTTTCAATGACTGATGCTTCCTCTTTATTTCCAACTTTCACATCCCAGTCACCAGTAATTATCAATGCATCTTGATTTCACATTTGATTAATTTCAGACTGAAGAAGTTGGTTGTTGTTGTTGTTATATGTGCTGTGGAGTCGGTTACGACTCATAGCGACCCTGCATAGGGTTTCTGAGGCTGTAAATCTTTACGGGAGCAGAAAACCTCATCTTTCTCCCATGGAACAGCTGGTAGTTTTGAACTGCTGACCATGAGATTAGCAGCCCGATTCATAACCACTACACTACCAGAGCTCATTATCACTGGCTTTAGTGGTTGGTGTGTAAATTTGAATAATAGTGTTATTAACTGATCTTCCTTGTAGGTGTATGGACATTATCCTATCACAGACAGAACTGTACTTCAAGACAGCTCATGAAATGTTCTTTTTGATGATAAATGCAATGTAAACTGTATGAAGTATGAATCTAGAAACATTGGAAGTTGTCAAAAATGAACATAAAGATCAATATGATAAGCTGAAATGAACTGGTGTTGGCCATTAGCAATTAGGAAGATGCAAATCAAAATCACAATGAGCTATAACTCTACTCTTACTAGAATTAATGGGTTAAGCCTTGGACTACTACTGCAAAAGGTACATACTCAACCACTATTTCTTAGGAGAAAGATGAGGTTTTCTACCCCCATAAAGATTTCTAGTATCAGAAACCCTACTCTGTCTTATAAGTTGTTATGAGTCAGAATTGACTCAGTGACAGTAAGTAGGTGGGTGGTAGATGATGACAGCTTTAAAAAAAATTAGAAAAATGCAAAAGTTGGCAAAAATGTGGAGAAACTGATATCCTCATCCAATGTTGATGGAAATGCAAAAATAGTAAAGTCACTGTGTAAAACAGCTTGACAATTTCTCAGAAAAGTTAACATGGGACTACCAAATGACCTGGTGTAAGATTGGCAGGGATTGTCATCTGACCTGCTCTGACTTCTCAAAGGGGAAGGGAAATCAAACTCAACAACAGTCCAAGGCCAATTCCTATAAAATGAGGGCCAAACATGCCTCTACACTCCAATCCTCTTTATCAGTTCTAACTAACTGTCACTTCCACAGCACTCGCTACCTCTCTGTTGGGTTTAATAAGCCACTACAATGTGCACACAGAACTCATAGACAATACTCACGATTATGGAGTTTATTAGGGAAGTTAACAGGTTACAATTCAGCATCAGAAAAGCTCAGGACACAGTTCTTTGGTAAGGAGAACCTCTTCTCAGCAGTATCAGAAAGCACCAGATTCCTCTCTCTGGTCCTCAGCTTGTCACTCATGCAGCCCCTTAGCCTTTGCCCAAAAGAAGCCAATAAATGCCCAAAGGGCACTCCACTCCTCCATTAGCATCAGCCCAAAATTGCTCAGCTTCAGCTCTGTGGGTCAGCAAACCTAGCTTCCCCAATTAAATGCCTGGAGGCACCCCACTGTTCAAGTGAGCCTCCTACCTGAAAGCGTTTATCTTTACTTGCTCAGTGGACTGGGAAGCCTACCACTCTGTCTCATGCTCTGGCTCTTGGTTCTGCTGCTACTGTTCCTCTGGCCACTCGTTTGGTGTCACAGCTCTGTCTTCTAGATCAAGAAAGTTCAGAGCAAGGACATTGGGGTCCAAAGGATGCACTCTGCTCCTGGTTCTTCTTTCTTAATGGCAGTGAAAGCCCCCATTCCAGCTTCTGAAATGCCTCATCTTATACTCAGTGGAGTGGCAAAACTGACCAATCCCCTCATTAGATTTCCATACACTGTATTTGCAAGATCCCAGCTAGTCAGTTGGTGGCTAGAAGACTACACACTAGACTATGGCTAGAAGACTACACACTAGACTATAGACTATATCACAACACCACATCCTGCGACTCAACTCCTAGTATATACCCAAAAGAATCTAAAGCAGTTACTCGGACACATATTATTCACATTATCATTACAGTATTATTAAGAATAGCCAAAAAGTGGAAACAACATAAATGCCCATCAACACATGAATGGATACACAAAATACCAAATGCAATATCACTCAGCCATAAAGAAAAATGAAGTCCTAATGAGTGGTACATAGGAAACAAGGAAGAACAGAAAAGAATTAATGCATTTCAATTATGGTGTTGGTAAAGACTATTGAATACACCATGGACTTTCAGAAGAACTAACAAATTTGTCTTGGAAGAAATACAAGAATGTTTCTTAGAAAAGAAGATGCTGAGACTTCATGTCATGTACTTTGGAAGGATATCATGCTTGATAAACTAAATGAGAAAGCCCCTCAAAGTGAAAGATTGACACAGTAACTGCAATAATGTACTTACACATAGCAATGATTGTGTGAGGATGACACAGGGCTGGGCAACATCTCATTCTGTCATACATAGTGTCACTAGGAATCACAACCACCTCTACAGCACCTAACAACAACAATAAATGGTACAACACAGGTGAACCTTTAAATAATTATACTGAGTTAAATCAGTCAATTGCAAAAGAGCAAATGCGATATGATCCCACATATATGAAAGATTTAAATAAGCAAATGTATGAAGGGTAAAGTGGTTACCAGGAATATAGCTAAGAGGGAGAACAGGAATCACTCTTTAGGAAGCATTGAGCTACTTTTAAAAGGGATGGGAAATTTGGTAACAGATACAGGTGCGAATTGTATACATGGTTAATGTAATCCATGTCCCTGGGTTGTGCATGTGAAGAGTATAACTGAGAAATGTTTGGATATATATGTTTTTACCACAATGCAGAGGGTGGTGGACAAACTTACCCAATACAGCTTATGGGTCGCAACTGTAGAATTCAAACTAAGCAATTTGATTCCATAGCCTATGCTTTATGCCTACCCCATATCACTGGTGGAGAGGAGACAAAAGGTCGTGCCAGGGGTGAGAAAAGTATGATGTGAACATATGCCTAACTCAATTTCCTTCATCTGAGATCAGAAAAAAAAAAAAAAACAGGGAAAATACTTTAAATCGTAAGAGCTCATTTGTTCCTCACAACTCTAAGCTTATATAAAATGAGCAGGTAGATTATATATTTGATCTCTTCTGACTCTAAAATTCTAATCTTTTACTTTATATTCTCTATGCTGAAAGATCCACTTGGGTGCAGCGCACTTGTAAACGTCATCCACTGAGGCTGCAAATATTAAAGGAATTGAGTGATCATAACAACTATGTCATTTAGCTCTAAATAAAAACAGAGTAAAATACAAAGTTAATCTTACAGTAGAACGCTTCCAGAAATGAATAATATCATCCATATCTGATGCAGGATTCAATAAAAAGTAGTTCCTCCATTCATCCCAGTCCACTGTCAAAGTTCCATCACTATCAATGCTGCAATTTAAAAAACATTAAAATGTGTTTATGACATTTATAACAAAGTTGGCATCGTTACAAAAATTAACTGTTTTTTTTAACATTGTAGCAGACACTCCTTTGGACTTCATGAATATCACTGCAAGCATATCCCTCACTTATCAGCTAGCATGTTATCTGACATTTTGGGCCTGCAGCAGTAGTACAATATCTGCTATCCAACTATTTTGCACATTAATGATGTAAGTCTGGCATTAATGAACACAGGTGTGAAGTTAGACGAACAGGGCTGCATTGGGTAAGATTATGTGGTAACTTCGCTGGGACATGATTCTCCGTGGTTTGGCAGTTATGTAACAATGTTCAGTTGGCAGGTATACAATGATACAGCCATCCTCCTTCTTGTGATCTGATGTAGTCATCCCCCATTTTGACAAAATGACCTGATCTTTGGAACCTAGCCACGTAAATAAGTAGGAAGTAGGAGCATAAGGATACGTTAAAAAATAATGCTGCTCAAATTCCAGTTCATACATAGGTTTATTCCAAATAAAACATATTTCAACATGTCTCTCCAGTCAGTGGATGGCTACAGACAACTCCTCTCAGTAATATACTTGTCTCAGTTTTATTAAGGTGCCTTCAAAACAAGATCCAGTCCAAAAAATGGCTTTCAAGGGGAACTGCTGCACCAGTTAAATTCAAGACAGAGAATTCAGTTCAGAAGGTTATAGTGATTGTCCAGGGGAACTCCAAAGGAGTAATCTTGATAGATCTCCAGGATACATTTTACATTTAGTTGTCATATATCCTTAGGCTCCTCTTGGCTGACAGTTTCTCAGACGTTCCTTGATTTTAGATAAACTTCATGGTTTTGAGGAGTATTTTGTACATGCCTCTGTATTGGAATTTGTTTCATATTTACTTTTAATTATTTGTCTGTGAGCTCTTCCAGGAAAGAACTTATTTCTATGTCATTTTTATCATACTAGTACTGAGTCCTGGTGTGGTGCTGTGGGTTAATGCACTAGACTGTAAAGTTGGCTTGAACTGCAAGGTAAAGTTGGCTTGAACTGCAAGGTAGATGGTCCAAGCTCACCAGCTGCTCCTAGGAAAACATCTACAGGGTCATTATGGGTTAGAACCAACTTGATGACACTTAACAACATCAACAGTACTGAGTACTCAATAAATGTTGCTAAATGAAAAAAATAAGGATAAATGAATAAAATTGATCACAAAGTACCTCCCCCCATCCCCTGCCGAATCCTTGTGTGGTATTGTAAGATAAGCACTGGACCATAAGGTCAGTTTGAATTGCAAAGTCGGTAGTCCAAACTCACCAACCACTCCTTGGAAATCCTATACAGGGTTGTTATGAGTTGGAACCAACTTGATGGTACTTAACAACAACCTTATTTTTACACAAATAATATGTTTGCCAATCATTCCTTCCGGGAGATGTATTTTCTTAAGCATTGCTATGTCAATTTCTTTTTTACATGTTGGTGTAAAAAAGTTAGCATAGTGCATTTACAAAAATATCTCCTAGGGGAGGGAGTGGTTGGCAAACAAATGTAGAAGAAACATGTTATTTGCATTTAAAAAAAATCAGTAATTTTATGCTATTTGGACTCTTCTAGTTTTTTTTTTTTTATTATTCACTGTCTTTTCCCTGTTTATACTTTTTTTTTCACTTTTTATTATGAGTTGGATGAGAGTTTACAGAGCATATCATCAGTTTTACATTCAACTAATCATACACACTTCATGTCATCTCTTTGATTGCCATCCTTTTCATCTCATCTCACTTCCTTCCTGTTAATTGTTAATTGTTTCAATTCCTCCTTCTTTCCCAACCCTTCTGAACTTTGTCCTTGGGTAAGGACTAGCCTTTTCATCTGAAATGGTTGACCATTTTAAAACAACCTTAATTTTATGAATTTATAGAAAATACTTTCACTTATACACCATGCAAAATTCAGGATTTACTGAGTTTTTAACTATTTCAGATAAAAACAACTACCAGAAATTCCTTTCCCGATATTTTAATAAAAACTGTAGTTTACTGAAAAGCCTTTTCAGTGGCATTCTTACAACTGGAAATTGTTTTGTTTTGTTTTAATTCATTCTTCTCCCAACACCCCCCCAAAAAAAGATGAGTACTACTTCCAGTTCCAGTCAAGATAAGAAATGAGTATTGAATGTGTCCTCCCACTGCAGCTAGGAAACGGGACCCACTAAATAAAGCAATTGGGGGTGGGGGGAGTACTAGACTACAAAGAAGACAGACTCATGATATTTGAATAAAGGAAAACACATGAGACGCATTTCCCATTCATTCTGGCTTCTGGATGGAGGCAGTTTCTAAATTATAGCATAGAGAAGTAGAAGCCTAAACAGAAAGCAGGGATTTTGCTAGTTAGATAAAACAGAGGTTAAAGCACAAGACTGCTGAGGTGGCGGATGATATAGGGACCCCTTTGAATCTTTGACCAAATGCTAAGCTACATACAGCTTCATGAGTCTGAAAAAAATACCTACTGGAACCTAATGGGAATTCTGTAGCTGAGAGATGTTGGAGTTCCAAATAAGAGAAAGAGAGATAGGGAGCCCTGGTTTGGCGCGGTGGGTTAATGTGCCAGACTGCAAAGTCATTTGAACTGCAAGGTTGGTGGGTCAAGCTCACCAGCTGCTCCTTGGAAACCCTATACAGGGTCGCTATGGGTCGGAACCAGAGCGACAGCACTTCACAACAGCAATAAGAGAGGAAAGGAGGGAAAACGTGGAGGGAAGGGTTGTAAAAAGAGAATTATATACAGGGGACAATTAAAAGGGCAAACACTGACTTCACATCAGAAACAATTCGTGCTAGCAGACATCTTTAATTATTTTTTTAGGTGAAAAAGGATAAAATAAACTGTCAACCTAGATTTCTGTAAGCAATAAAATTATCCTTCAAAAATGAAGGTAAAATATACATTTTCTGATAAACAAAATGTATGTTGCAAAAATTGTGCAAAAAATGTATGTTGCAAAAAAGCATAGCACATGTATTTAAAAAAAAACTCATGGAGGTATTGAACAGTTGGCAAACAAATGTAGAAGGTGCATGTTATTTGCATAAAAGTTGGTAATTAGTATAAAAATCACCAATGGGCAACACACCTTCACCTTGTTCTGCTTTCATTTATGACATTGTATGGTAATCACCTAGTGTTAGTTCCCCTACTAGCCTACAACCATAAAGCAGGAACTTTAGCTTGTTCACATCCCTTGTAACTATGTTTTAAATAACTGGTTGTTATAGGCAATCCACTGGAAATCCACCACCACTTGTCTGTCGCTTTGTGTCATCCATGGTGAACTTTGGAGCTTCCAGACTAATACAGACTATTGTTGTTGTTAAGTGCCATTGAGTCAGCTCTGACCCATAGTGACCCTATATAGGGTTTCCAAGAAGCAGCTGGTGAGTTTGAACTGCCAACCTTGTGGTTCAAACCAACATTGCAGTCCAGCACATTAACCCAAAGTGCCACACCCGGACTCCAAGACAGACTAGGAAGAACAAACAATGGTTTTAGCAGAGCTTCCAGACTAAGACAGAGTGGTGATGGTGTGCCGTGGAGTCGGTTCCGACTCATAGTGACCCTGCATAGGGTTTCCGAGGCTGTAAATCTTCACAGGAGCAGAAAGCCTCATCTTTCTCCCACAGAATCGCTGGTAGTTTCGAACTACTGACCTTGAGGTTAGCAGCCCAACTCATAACCACTATGCTACCAGAGAGCCTTTAAGACGGAGTAGAAAGAACAAATATTGAACTGTTTCTGAGCCATTGAAAAGTTCATGAATAGCAACTGAACATTGTCAGATAGAGTGCAGAAAAATGAATATACTGTAAATAGCAGCAGAATGTTGTCAAATATATTGTTGTTTGTTGCTACTATGTGCCATTAAGTCAGTTCCAACTCACAGTGACCCTGTATAGGGTTTCTGGAAAATGAGCTCTCTCAGGTTGGAAGTCACTCAAAATATGACTGGAGAAGAGCTACCTCCTCAAAGCAGATTTGACCATGATGACACAAATGGAGTAAACCTTTTGGGACTTACATTTGTTGATGAGGCAAAACTCTAAATAAGAAGAAAGAACTGCAAACAGTCGTTAATAATTGGAGCATGGAATGTATTAATCTAGGAAAATTGGAAGTTCTCAAAAATGAAATGGAATGCATAAAGATCAATATCCTAGTGTAGTGGTTACGAATTGGGCTGCTAACCTCAGGGTCAGCAGTTCAAAACTACCAGTGGTTCTGTGGGAGAAAGATGAAGCTTTCTGCTCCCGTAAAGATTGTTGTTGTTGTTATGCGCTGTCGAGTCAGTTCCAACCCATAGTGACCCTGCACAGTGTTTCTGAGGCTGTAAATCTTTATGGGAGCAGAATGCCTCATCTTTCTCCAGCGGAGAGGCTGGTAAAGATTATAGCCTCGGAAACCCTATACAGGGTTGCTATGAGTCAGCACCGACTCCACAGCACATAACCACCACCAGTGAGCTGAGGGACTCTTGGTGTGGCACCGTAGGATAAGCACTGGACTGTAACCCACAAGGTCTGCAGTTCAATCCCACCAGCTGGTCCTGGGAAGCCCTACATAGGGTTACTATGAGACGGAACTGACTCGATGGCACTTAACAACAGCAACAAGAACAACAAAGCAATTGGAAGAAATGATGTAAAATAGCTGAACAGACGATTTCATTGGGTAGCTTATGAAGACAAATTAAAGTATTATAGTGAAATGTGAAATGAAAATGTTAAATCAGAAAACCAAAAGGGAAAACATGCTCAGCATGCCACAAGCTGAAAGAATGGGAGCAAGCCTTGAGTTCTTGTATTGAAGAATTCTATGAGCAAATTATTGAATGATGCTGAAAGCATCAAAGGAAGATGGCAGGTATATACAGCGTTTCTGTACCAAAAAGAATTGGTCGATTCTCAACCATTTCAAGAGATAACCTAT